ACACTACACAATAAATAAATATTGAAGATAATTGTTTAAAACTAATTGCTTCTACACTAAGGAACATCACAGCGTGCAATGATAACAAAATACGAAAACGATGACATATTCATTATGTAACCCAGAGGTTCCCAGACTTTTTTTCTCATAGACCACTTTCAAAATTTAGATGATTCCGGTGGACCCCCCGCATCTACATTTGTACCATATTCCCAAAACTCGACAAAAAATTGGAAGATTCGATCTAACTATGGAAATTTGCAACGCAAATTGCTGAGTTCCAACCACATATTAATAGTTTTCGAGAAAAAAAGTGAGGACACGTTGCACTGAATCTGGAATATGCAAGTTTTTACAAGTAACAGTCGCTGATCTTCTTAAAATATTATCTGCCTGCATTGATAGGTGAAGTCAAGCCAACATTTCTTTTCTGTTCTTCACTATCGAAAGCAGATAAATTTTCGTGGACCCCCGCTTACGAATTGTGAACCCCTATTTTTTGTCACGCCAACGTAGACCCGCGTCGAGTCTCCCATGGATCCCTGGGGGTCCACCTGGACCACTTTGGGAACTAAGGATGTAAACCTACAACTAATTAATCTATATACAAAATAAATCAAGCTATAGTGACTTATTCAAAATTAAAAGCTTAAAAAATTTTAAATTTGATATTATATATCAGACGTCTGAAGTTATAACTTCAGACGACTACTGTCTGTACTGCTACCGTCATATGTTGCGCTTTGGTTGGACACAGAGGTTCACGAACGAAACCGTGCTTCAGAGCGTGTTGATTATGTCCTGGAAAATGATGCCGCCATCTATCAAAAGGCGCAAAAAAGAATATCTTTTTCACGTGATCAAGAACGATAGATACACGCTGCTACAACTGATAATGATGAGCAAATTGTAGGAAAAGAGACGCGCTGGGCGAAGGAAGTAATCGTGGCTACGGAACATCCGGGGGTGGACCGGCATTGCCTCGTTGCTGCTGATAGAGATAGATACAGGAAGCTGACGGCCAACCTTCAGAATTGAAGAAGATATAAATAAATAAAATAAAAAGGTATTTATTTATCCACAAAATATAAGAAACACAATACTTAAAACACAAATAGAAAAAAACAACTGAGTGATGTGGAGAAAGAGGTTAAAGACTCAGCATTCCCGATTTTAAGTCTTCACCTGTTGCTGCTTCAGCTGTTCGCTTGCTGCACCAAGCTAATATGTGGAATGTACACCAAGTAATAATCTATCTTGAGTGATAATTAGTAATAAGTTAAAATTTTAATATGGCTGTCCGTGTATTTTTTTTTTACAGTTAACCTAAAGTTTAGTTGTAGTGTAATTATGAATTAAAAATATATCCGCCTACCTACCCTTATAAGTGTTAAAACCATGACCAATGTCGTAATTTGGAAAGAGAGTTATACCTATATTATAAATCCTTTAAAACTATAAATAGTAATTTTTCAAAGCACTTAGTTTCTGGCCCATTCAAGCAGACTATATATCACATTTCTGAACTTTCTCCATACGTTTTATCGCGGTATCAGACGATGCTGGAGTTGTTATGGTTTACGCCTAACCAGTCTAACTAGCCACTAGATTTTACACTATAATGATGAACTAACAACTATAACAAAGCTTTATTTCGGTATCAAAAAACCTTTAAAACTCTATGACATAGATTCCCAAACTTTTTGGTTCTCCGCCCACTTTGGCAGGATAAAAAAATTCAATGCCCACCACCACAAAAAAATAATTGAAAACACATATTTTTTATATTAACTTAATACAAAAAATCACAAAAAAAAATTGTAGAGGAGTTTGAACAGCATCGACTTGGGGGACTCAAATTACTTCCGAGACCCCTGCCGCCTCCCTGTTACTCTTCAGCGCCCACTGGGGGGTGGCAGAGACCACGTTAGGAAAGTATAGTCTATGGGAAATAGTATTTTTTTTTACGATAATTAGTTCCTGGCTAAGTTAAGCAGGACTAGTCTCTGTACAATAGGCATCACTTTTCTCAGTTTTAGCGCGGTATCACATCTGATATTTGAAATGCATAATTACAGGTACACGAGACTTGTCAACTTATCGTCGGCGATAATGTAATTACGCGTAACTGGCATTGGATTATGAATTTCCAGTTCAGTAATTTAGTGGCCGAATCAAATATATTGTTATCAGTCCGTAGACAACATAAATTAATGCTTACTATGCATAAATGAAAGTCGTAGTCGTTGAAATAACAAAATAATAACGTTAACTCCTTCTCCTGTAAAATTTGGTTTAGGGTTGAAACACAAAACTGCGAATCGGCACGATGCTAATTCGCAACGTCGAAAACTGCGACGCGAATTGCTGCGAGGCGTTTCGTGCGGCAAAGCGTCTCACTGTCATGGCTCGGGCGATCATTGCTTAGACGATTGTCGATCGAACGTATTTTTTCAGCTAGGTAGCGACGGGAATCCTAAAAGAGTGTTGCACTGCTGTTATTGATAAGAAAATATAGGAAAAAAACATAAAGAAGATTAACATCGCAGAAACGCGCGATGCAACGTCGCATCGCAGTTTTGTGTTTCGACCCTTAGTACAGATACTCGCCTTTTACCAATGCTACATACGCGGATTTGCACTCTTCCCGACGTGATGTCTTAGGGTGATCTTTGCGATTTAAAGCTCTGAGTGGCACGAGAACTGCTATGGACAGGCGTGTCGCGTAACAACAGGCGCACGACTTGTTCGTCCCGTCACATGGTATCATTAAAAAACTTATCGAGTTCTTATGTTTTCGCGATTGTTACACATCGGTCCCATGGTCACGGTTGACCATGGGACCTGTAAAGGGCCCGAAACATCTGTTTGTTTGAAAAAACAAATATACGCGATTTAAATCCGGAATAATAGTTTCATTTCCTTTTAAAAAAACTTGCTATGACCCTGACACACATCTTTAAGCAACACGCATCAATGCTTTCATACACGCTCGACGTTTAAGGGTCGTATTCCAGAACGCTACTCAATGCTCAAGTCAGGATTGCACTGGAAACACAAGCACTGGAAATACGACCCTAATGGCAGGGACTTGAGTATGATTTCGAGTGCTTTAAACCATACTCAAATCCTTGAGACTTGAGCATTGAGTAGAGTTCTAGAATACGACCCTAAGAGTCTATATCACCTCAGGTCGATTCATTTTTTTCCCGTAATAATACAATTAATTTTGCTTGGGTCGAGCGGCAGGCACACTGGGTTTTTATTTCAGATTTGTTTTTACACTCGACATTAAAGCCATTAGAAAAATGTAAATCGTGTAGTTTACGTGTTTCACGTGTTTGTCTATTTAGTTTAGTTAATATAAAAAAAAACTTTGGTATATGTAAAGTACCTATTGAATACAAGTTCGAAAGAAAGTACAGCGGTTGTGTTTTTTTCTGTCGTGAAAATTTTTACGAATCGTGTTTTCATTTCACATCGTATAGTAATCAGTGTGTATCCTCAATTGTACTATATCGCCTGTTAATACAATAGTGTATTAAATCAAAAAGCGTATTTTCTCAGAATCGACGAAATACTCGCTTCCCGTGAAAGATAATTCAAATGTATATAGGTTATAGTTTATTGCAGACAATTTCCTACTTGACAAATATATTTAAAAATAAAAGAGAAAAAATAATTTCATTTTTGAATAAGGACCATTTTACCCAGAACTAGCTCACGTAAAGCGTGTCTCATTTTGAGTTAAGTAGATATCTTTTAGTTGTTTTTTACAATATTCTAACGACGGTTTTATTGACGTGTAGAGAATCAACTTTTACGTTCAATAATGGTATATTCTTGAATTTCACATATTTTAAGTTATAGCCATTGACTTACAAATAAATGGACGACGGGTCTAATACAAA